TCTCGATTTTGGATTCTGTATCCTTGGTGTATTAAAAGTGAATCGCTAGTTACGTTTTTATTGTGAACTACTGAAAAGTCCAGGCTCAGAAGCTGAAATTTGCATTTGTAAGAAATACGCCAGTTCATATCATGAAACAGTTGAGTAACATGTGGTTGGGGGATGATAAGAGCTTTGGGTTGGCTCCAAGCCCGGTTTTGGCAGATTCTAGTTGAGACAGCTCAGGGCAGACGACTCAGCCCCTGTGGGTCTCAGATGCATCATTCATAAGGACATGTTTGGTGAATGTTAGCCCCTGATCCCCATTCCTTCTGTTCTCCTATTTTCCCTTCTAATTCCCTTCCTTCACCTTCATACCCTTTCTTGTCCTTCATCATAAGGGAAAGAGCAGCAGGCTCTGTAGATGAGACCAACACACTCAGACCCTCCCTAGGTGCTTGCACAGCACCGTGTATTTGATGTACTGCCGTAGACTCTCGGCCTCACCTGGACCCTTGGTCCCCTGGTGACCAGCTATTAAGAGTTCTGGACACTTCTGCTAGTGTTGCTTCTTCTTCTATCATCTACACTGTCACTCGCTCCTTGGGAACAGGTACTTAGTCTGCCTTGTTAGATCCTAGGGGACACACTCAAACTCTCCTATGGCTCCCAGAATTTGAAGAGGAGCAAAGCGACAAGGCACAAACTCTGGCTCCTCAATAGCAGCCTGAAGAGATCAGGTGATACACAGTTCCCTGTGAGCATAAACTGTCCCCAAAGGAAGCAGGAGTGGGACAGTGTAAGTGCATCCACTCCTCACCTAATCCCCTAATCATCTGCACTACCTGTCCAGAGACTTCTGTAAGGCCCCAGCCATGAGGGAGCGGTGTCCTGCTCAGTGAAACATCACCCTGCTTTGTTTGGTTTCCTCCCCTTCTCTCAAGTCTCTCTTCTCCTTTCCCCTCATTCTGACTTCCCTGGGATTGACTCTCAGGTTAGCATCTAATAAGGGAATTGTGCTGAGTGACCTGTGCGTTACATGCAGTTCCCAGGATCCCCTGTCAGCTGTCTTCTGGCTGGGTTTGGCAAACATGGAATAACTAATGGGAGACAGAAGAGAAGTAGAGAGAGAGAGAGAGAGAGAGAGAGGCCAAGGCATCTTCCTTCTCCACGTTAGGAGACGGCTCAGGGAGAGGGTGACTTTTTCTCATGTTCTGTTAGTCCTTGCAGCAGGAATCGATCTCTTCCATTACTCATTTTTGAGTTGCCTCAAAAATCTTCTTTTACCTTTTAGCCAGTTTTTTATTAAAATCCACTTATTGATCTGTATGCCATGTTCTATTTTTTCCTGACTGGATCCTCATACAACACACAACAATATAAGTGTAATTCTAGTAACTGTGTTTGAGGTGTGATGGAAATCATTTTTTGCCTGCAAAAAATGTAGGATATATATTTCTAAACATAAGGAAGCTGGGCTTTTAACCACTTCAAATAAAAATTATCATCAACTGTTCTGCAAGATAACAGAAAAGAGATCAAATTATTATTTTAACATTTTAAATGTCATTGATTTTTATGAGGTGTGATAAAAATACAGTCAATATTTAAAGTAAGAATAGTATTACACCGAAAAACAGTGTCGTTAGTCTCCCACGAAGTCCTCCCCCTCACATCTAACACGCTGGTCCCATTGTTCTTGCTCCCTTCTGAAACCGTTCTGGAAATCTCCCTCGGTGACTATCTTTTCATTGGCTGCCTCATGTTCTGACCTGATTCAAATCACTTGAGGCAGTTTCTGTCAAACAAATTTTTGCAGTGTGCCCACATCCACCTAGTTCACTACATCTGTCACAACGTGACATCTTGCTCTTCCCCAAAGTCAAAATGACTTTGGAAAGGAGGCAGCCACAGCAGCACAACTAAAGACATGAAAGGAACTTCTAGAACTCCTTCAGAAATGGTGAGAAGGATGGGATCAGGGTGCTCAAAGCCAAAGGAATATTTTAAAGGGGATTAATTGCAATGTGTCTTTTAATGTGGTAATCTTTCTTTCATGCTAAATAGTCATCATGTTTGGGTCACACCTCATAAAATACTTTTTTCATACTTTTTTCCTAAAAGTTGTAATTTCCATTTACTAAGAGAACATGTCCTATTTGCAGTAGCACCTGGAGAAATATGATACAATATTGCTAAAATTGGCCTATGAGAGATTTACTTTTTTCCTGAAGTGCTCTGTAACAGCTCAGCAATGATTTTGGGATCTCTTTCAATAACACTGGATGGGTGTAACTCAAGCCTGCTGCCAGAAATCCTTCAGTGTCTAGGCAGAGAGATGAACGCAGACATCTCTCTGGAGCGTGCATGTGGGATACCCGAGCTATGTGAGCACCATTCTTCCAGCTGTCAGAGTAACAGGAAGGAATTGTGACAAGGATCTGGAGTACAGTGTATGCCTGGAACAATTTGTGTTTTTCTGCCAGTTTTTGTCTGTATATCCTAAAAAAAAAAAACAAACTTTATAGTACTGATGCCTCCACAGCAGGCTGAATGCTACTCACACCCGTGCAAGCCTGAGACTAACCGACGAAATGCGCTGGGTCAGGCAAGCGATGAGCCGAGGGTTTCCGTGCTCTCCCCACTACGTGACTTCAGCCTCACATGTGCTGGACTTTTGCCCACTTTGGAAAAGAAGATGCAACCAGAATCCACTGGCCTCACATCTAATGGTAACAGTCAAAGAGAAGCACGGGGGAACACTGGGCTCTAGAGGACAAACTTGCATGCCACCAGATGGCCTCGCATGAATGGACTCCATCTGGACAACGGGAAGAAATGTTTCAGAAGAAGGAGGGCTATTAGTTTGTACACCCCGTGGAGTCACTGTGAAGTACTTCCAGATGTATTGTTAACTGTGTTTGCTGTCTCCTGAATCGCCTCACACTGCCTCAGGCATGTAAGGATTTCCTTAATCAGATCTCTCCATTACCACTGTATTAGTCTGTTTTCTGTTTCTATAATGAAATAGCAGAGTTTGAGTGACTTACAAAGAATAAATCTTATCATGTTGTACACTGTGAGAGATGTATTGAGATCTCAGTTTGGTGACTGAAAGTCCAAGATTGGGTAGCAATGTTTCTTTGGTTGCTAGAGAACACCACAACCAGGAGGAGAACTGGGCACATGGAGAAGATGCTGAGCACCTGTTTGGACTCAGTTTATAGTGTTCTACACTCAAGAGAATTAACTCCCTCCACAAGACCACTGCAGTTGAGGCTACTATTGACCTACTCACTAAGAGATTCCACTGCTTCAAGGTTCTGCCACCTCTGTACAACATATACGTGGGACAAAGCTTTCAATACATGAACTTCTAGGGGACCCACACAAACTATATCCAAACCAGGGCACCCACAACCTCAAGGACTAAATGTGGCCATGGCAGGAGGCCTCTGGTACCCTTTCATAGTCATAGAATGGAGTGTATCCTTATTCAAAAATCATCATGACAATTATTAGTCTTTTATACAGATAAGGCTCAAGATAGTTAAAACCAGATTCATTTGTCTCAGAAGTTTGTTGTTTCCTGAATTGTTGAAGCACTAACAATTTGCTTAACAGGATGGTTCTTCTCAGCTACCAAAAGCTGTTACTGGTTCCAAATAGCCCACTATTTTTAGAACTTTGAGATAAATCTTCTTGGTCAGATGTGTAGCATGTGCCAGTAATCCCAGCACTAGACAGGCTGACGCAGGAAGTCTGTCACAAGTTCAAGGCCAGCCTGGGCTACATAAGCAAGTCCAATGCCAGCCTGCTGCCCTACTCAGCAAGACGTCTCAAAAACAAATAAACAAACAAAGGCTTCCCCAGCATCCACACCAAAACCCACCTACCTCGCAATTGGACCCTTGCCCATGGGTCTTTTAAGCCTACTGAGAGCACCTCCTCCATCAGGTACCCTGCAGCACGCAGGCGGAGAGTGAAGAAACAGAATGATGGCACCGTGAGGGGGCCAGAGACTCATGCACAATCTACTCCAGCCCCAGCTGTGCGGTGCACATTTATGTGACAGCCTGTCTGCTCCCCGAGATGAATCACAGAAAATTAGAGATGGGGAAGGGCCTATTAGTTCATCTACTCCATGCCCCTGCCAGCTCACAAGCCCTCCCCTGTGTTGTTTCCTTCCCAGCTTGAGTTTAAATAGCACCAGACACAGACAGCGCTGCTTCTGTGCCTCCTTCTCAGAGAATTCCCTCCAGTGCACCCAGCAAATGCCGGGTGTTTGCTGTTTGCTTCCTCTAACCGTGTGGATGCAGCGCTGTTAGGTTGCTCGCTTGCACGGCCTCACCTAGCAATGAAAAAGTCCCTGGATACAATTACAAGGTGGGGACTCTGCTCCGAATCAAAGGACTTGTTAGCAAAGAGACAAAGCGTGAACACGGCTTCTGTGTTACCTCACTTCAACCTTTTTTATGTCATTTTCTTATTAATATTGTTCAGCGTTTGCCTTTTTTTAAACAATAGACAGAACTATGACTAAGCAGTGTTACTGGCTTTGGTTTCCACGTTTACTTTGTTTTACCTTTAAATATTTAATTGAAACAATTGTATCTATTCACGATGATAAACGGGTCCCTTGTGCAGCAGTAACCACACACCATTAACATCCATCACAACATGCTTGCGCCTGATCCTTGAACTTTCTTTAGTACTAGCTGGAATATGACTAAGTTGAATTGCTGGTTCTTCGTTCCACATTTACTTCTTCATCGCTTTTTAATTTGATGACTCATCTTTCTGTCTGCATTATATGAAAGTTTGCAATTAAAAGTTACTCAAATATCTTCAGAGTTAAAACACCCCTTTTTGTCTTTTAAATTTTATCTAAATATAAAAGAAAAACAATAAGCCTGGCACATCCTTTCAGGATACTCTTAAAATGAATGCGTGCGTTTTTCTATCCGAGGACTCAGGCAGGAGGGCTCAGAAGCATTTTCCGAGGAGGCATCTGTGCGTACCTTAATCTGCCCTTTCAAGCACGGCTCGCTGCACACGGACCGCACTACTCCGCTCTTGTTCATCTGTATTTTGTCATCGTCGATGTTCAGCACGCCTTCATGCCAGGTCCCCACGTGCACGTAGTCGTAGCGATTAGCTTCCGTGTACTGCAGATTCATGATATCATACCTGCAAAGCAACATTCCAGTCTTGGAGGACGTGATGTGGACACAATGTAGAAAACAAAGACATTTTATAGCTAGATTTTGATACAGAGGAAAATCGCTAGAATAATCACACATCACAATATCAGCTATTGTAACAATTTCAGTTTAGGTTACCGCTGATTTTCCAGAATGTACCTGTATTTCCCGAAGAAATATGCATCCATATTTCCTAAAGAAAATGTTACTCTCATCATAGTCCCTGTTCATACTCCAAAAATAATTCTACATACCCCATATTGATGGTTTCCCTTCAAATCATTATTCATTAAATTGCTTTTTGCACAAGTAGCCATCCATAAGAGCTTTATCTCTTTCGTTACTTACATTCCAAATATCCTTCTCACATCTACTTTCCATTTTCAGATTAAAAGAGGGAGTCTTTACTGAGTCTGAAATTATTTTAGGTGGTCAAAGAGCAAATAGTCTGAGAAAGATGTCTTTAGTTAGTAAGAATGTCGAAAGTTTAGTATCTTACACATGAACACTTAAATTGGTCTCTTTCCCAGTTAGGACAAACTTTTTTTTATGTGAAATAATTACTGTCAGTTATTTTAGTAATTTTATATTTATTTATGTATCTGTTTTATTCCTTTCCTAGGGTCTTTCTATGCAGCTCAGGCTGGCCTTGAGTTCCCTTTGTAGCCCACCGTAGTTTCAAACTTGCAAGGATCCTCCTGCCTCAGCCTCCTTAGTGCTGGGATTATAGTGTATGCCACCACTGCTGGTTTATTCCAGTAATTTTAAATGGAGAAATGTGACTAATGGCAAAGTATACATTTAGATCTTTTTCCTGTAGTAATGTATACCTTTGTATAAAAATAAATCTTTACTGAAGCCTGAGTATACTTAGGGAATCAAACTCTGCTTTTCCAGGGAAGGAAACAGAGGAATTTCTCCAATGCAGTAGAGAGAACAGAGGGACATCAGACGGTGCGAGCTGGAGCCCTTCTAACAGTTCAGTAGTACCTAGGAATGTCATCATGCTCTTTAAGCTTCTTTGGTGGTATATGAACATAAGGCAGGTCAAAAAACTTCTCTAAAATTGGGATGAATGCATAGTTTCTATGGTCTAGGTGTCTCTATCTTAAACGTCACATCCTGAAATGCTAACTCCCAAAGTGACAGCATTAGGAGATGGATATTTGGGGAGGCGATTAGGTCATGAGTTCAGAGTCCTCATCAATGAGATTTGTGTCCTTATGGAAGCAGCCTCATAAAACTTGTGTCTCCTCTGCCACCAGGACATGGATAAAAAGTGCCATCTATGCATTGGAAAGCAGGACCTCAGTACACACCAAACCTGCCGGTGCCTCAATGCTGGATTTCCTAACTTCCAAAATTGTGAATAAATTTCTACTGTTTATAAGCCACACAGTCTACTCTATTTTGTTATAGCCCCAAACAGACTAAGACAATGTGTAAAGGAATCTCATGACATCAGTCATACTTGTATTTCTATAAATAACTTTAAAATACACTGGTTATTTCCATTTCTATAAGAAAACAGGACAATATTTGTGTTGGCATGGCCATGTGTCTCTCAAGCATTGAAAAATCACTGGTAGCCTTACATCTTCTTTCCATGTTGTCACGCACTCCAAGCAAACTGTAACTCATGTGGCAATGTACCCACACTCAGTTTGGCTCCCTTGGTACTGGATCCAGAGTGGGATTCTTTTTTGCAGTACCTATGCAGAGTTTGTAACCTCCTGAGCTAGAGTGAATCACGGCATCCAGCTCTGTCTGTCCAACCCAAGGAAATAGATGCTAACTAAACAACACACACTCCTCTTCCTCTGTTTCTTCTACTCCACCCTGAAATCTTTCGTCTTTAAACTTCATTCAGATTCACAGTCTTTCTCAGCCTCGCACTCTGGGAAGCTACTGCCAGTCAGTCTAACCTGGCTTCTGGATTGTATGGGCTGTACCTGGCCTGATTCTTTGTCTAGACAGTGATTACCAGTTCACTGGCATTTCTGCCTATACTTAATGTGTAAATGTATGCTGTTTCCACAAGGTATTTTCTGGCTTTTCCACATCTAGATTCTCTGAGTTTCTACAAATAGCTGATTCCTAAAAGAAAAGTAGACTTGGGGAGAGTAAGGAAGCTTTCCTTCACTGGCGAGCAAAACTAAGGCAAGAATGAAAACAGAGAATGATACACCTGGAGCCATTAGTCGTCTTTTTCTTAATATAAATCTTTTGCCTGTAAATCCATTTCCTAAGACTTACTTCAACTTCCCCATTTACTGTTTCATAAGGGAAGCTGGTTCATACTTCATTAATATTTAAAACTGAAAAATTCACAGTATTTTGGTATGAAAACCCATTTTACAAAGTCTCAAATACTGGAGGGAAAAAACAAGAAGAAAGAAACACTAAAAGGTATCAAGGGGAAAACACTGACTTCCTGAAATGTGTGTACGGTGTGTTAATGAGTGCCGCTCTGTCCTCTGAACCCAGGCTTCCTGCGGGATATGCTAGCCTTTCCTCATGCTGTAAATTACACTTTGCAGCATCCTCTCAATGCATCGGGTTTATGTTCTGTGATGATTAACTAAAGTAATTACAAGAGGGGCCCAAAGCGTAAGCCACTATAAGGCAGGAGCTGGAAGCCTCCTGAGGTGTTTGGAACAGTAGCTAAAAAGAGATTAAGCTGACCACCTTCAAGCAGGAGGCAATGATCCCTGAAAAGGCACCAAGGGGAAAGCTCATAATTTGAATATGTAATTAAACAGGGAAGAAAAGCCAGCTAAAATCGTGCACCTATGTTTTGAAAAACTTACAGATGAAAAAAGGATGCAAAAACATGTAATTTATTGGGAGTAAAATCGTGCATCTGACCCCGAACTAGGAACACGGTATATTTTTCAAATCATGTGGGAAGGTTTACGTTGCAAAGCTGACCCAGTACTGAGCCTGTCTTGCAGGGGAATTCAAGATTACAGTGAGGAACTCAGTGGGCCAGGTGGGCCCTCTTTGAGTGTCAGGTCAATTTACTTCTCCTGGTACCGTCCAAATGTGCTCAATATCCCAAAGCTTCCTCTTCCTACATTTCTCAAACCCTGAGTTATACATCACACTTACATTCTGATCAAAAGCTACTCCTACCTGACAGCTGAGAAGGAGTACTGTAAATTCATTATTTTCATTGTTGACAATGACATCTGTATCCTTCCTAGAGCTATTGGCTTTTAACAGTGAGATTCCCACTTAGCTTCCATAATGGATTATCTCTATGTAGAACTTAACACATCCATACAAAGAAGGGACGCACGGTCTCTTATAGCACTTTTACATAAAGAAGGTTGCCAGAAATTTTTCCTAATTTTAGAATTAGCTACAAAGCAGCATAATCTCACAAAAGATTACGAGCCTCAGAGCCAGACTATCTGCCCTCACTACCCACCTGCTGTGTGACTTCAGGTGGCTTGCTTAGTTTATCTGACCCTCAGTTTTGTTATCCAAAAAGAAGGATAATAATACACTAGAGAATTAAGTGACTTGAGGTTCCATTTTAACACAACCTGTGCTTTCCTAGAAAGTTCTAGATCTGCAAAGTTATAGACTGAATAAAATAGGGGCCTTATTACTTTATTATTATATATGAAAAGAAGGTTGTGAGAGTATTGTGCAGAGGCTGAGCTGAGGGCCTTTGCTCTTACTGATGAATGTTTTAATTCTTCTGCCATGCTAATTATCCCTTTGCTAAGAAAATGTATGTGATTGAAACTGACATAATTTTCTGTGTACCAGTTACCAGTGGGCGCAGAGGTAGCATCAGAACAAGTATTGCAGAAGAGATTGTGTGTAAAATGACTTGAGGAGAAATTGTGTGTGTGTGTGTGTGTGTGTGCATGTGCATATTTAGTTAGGTTTTGATTTTTTCTGCTTCTTGTTTGATTAATTCTTTGAAAGCCATTAGAGACTATACCTTAGATAAGAATTCTTTCCATTCTGTCTCCAGGAGATAGATTAGCACAAATGGAAGTTCACCTGAGAAAAGTGGATGTATGTGCAGAATACAGTTCTTTTTACCTACTAAACATTTTAAGTGGATGTAATGTCTTCAGTATTTTGTGGCCAGAATAGCACAGTGACTGATCTATCAGAAAGACACTGTGATGCAGGCAGTGCCTGGGAGTCTGCAGTTGGTCAAGTGGAATGTCCTTATGGTCTCTTGGATTTTTAAACGTGTTTCAGGCCTTCTGAAAGAAGGGTCAGGTGGGAGCTGGGTAAGGGGATAGTACTGGAAGGATGCAGGGTTCTTGGGATTTACCAAGAAGTGTTTCAATGTTTTGAAGACCAGTGTGGTATTTAGTAATACCCATTTGATACTGGTGTTTTTACTGTTCCAGCTGAATCCATAATACCCAGATACTGGGAAACCAAAGGGATCCCTACTTGCAATCTGTCCTGCTCTGAAGGTTCACCAAGTCATTCAGAGCCATTATAGAAAAACTATATTACCTTCCAGGAGCATCTCCTTTCTCATCAAACCACACTTCCTCTCCAGACACACCGATGAAGGAGGACTTGATAAGGAAGTCCAGCAGCTTGCTGCCGTCAATGGGCTTCATGGCGTCACAGAGGCCCACATGGCCAGGGCAGAGGGCATGGTGCATGTTCTGCAGCCCGTGTGCCATCGCATAAATGGCATTAATGACAAACCCCATCTTACTGTCCTGGACGTAGTTTTCTTCTAAGCTTTCATTGCCTGTAATAATGAGAACAGATCGTACCAAGGTCAGTCAACAAGGCAGTGTCTGCATGCTTAACTATCAGTCGCTTTCAGGGCTCTCAGGGAGTGGGGAGAGGAGAAGTCCTGCTGAAGAGGCTCTGATGTGGGACCACTGTGGGCTAGACTATCTGCAAAAGGTTGGTTCAATCTCATTTTTTTCTATTCTGTAACGATCTATGAGCTATAGAAGGAACTCCACACAAGGTGAGAATGGAGAACTTTTATAAGCCAAGGGCATGGTGGTGTACATCTATGATTCTAGCACTCTGGATGGCAGAGGCAGGAAGATTGTGAGTTCAAGCCCAACTTAGGCAATTTAGAGACTTCATAAGACTCTGTCTCAAGATAAGAACACAAATAAATAAATTAAGTAATTAATGGTCAAGGATACAGGTCAGTAAAAGGATTTTAAGCTCAATTTCCAAGACTGAAAACCATCTTTTTTCATTTAAAACAATCCTCAAAGATCAATAAAAATAACTTGTTCTTTTTTGGTTCCCATGAACATCCATGAAGTCTTTCCCTATCTCACGGTAGTGGAAGAGCATTCTTTTTATTCTCTTTGACAATCTGCAATTCATGCTAAGTCACTCTTACCTAGCCCCTGATATTTTCTTTGGTGATCCTACTATTTTTGTCATTTTGTCTAAGGCCACAAAAACTCACAGTTAGAAGAAGACAGGTATGAGATATCTTATTTGTTGTTGGCAATACAGAAATATTTAAATAAGATTTGCTAATTCTTAGAAACCTAGGTGTAATATTTCTTCATGGAGAGACATACTACACATTAATTTTAGTCTTCAGATTTTTCCTGTGGATTTCAAAAGCCCTGTGATCATTTCTGCCTAAGTAAAAGAGTCCCCCAAGTAACAAAGAACTTCAAAGGGACAGTACTGCATCAAATCTAGGCTTCATATTGGAAGGCCAAATTTCAGTAATTGCACATGGATGAGAAATTTGGAGGCCATTCACACTTCATAAAATAAAGGTTGCAAGTTTGGAAAACAACACAGACTTGGTGTGCACTGGCATAGTTCAGAGACTTTGTATTTAGTTTCAGAAATATGCTTCTCTCTGCAGTGGGATTTCCTTTGCCCATTTGACTGGTAGTGAGGGGTCTATGGTACCTATGTGTGAATAAGGTACTAGAAGTTGAGAGCATTGGCAGATTCAGCTGCTCATGGGGTTGATAACAATCTGAGACTCTACACTCCCTGCCAACTTCCTCTTTGCTTCAGCCTAAGTACTCATTGGATACTACTGTTCTTGGGCAAAGGGCTGGCAGAGAGTTTATAAGAAGTTGGAGAGCGTGAAGTATTTAGACGGAATGGTAAAGAGTTTTGACTTGAGATTGAGCTTGGGATGAAAATAGAAACTTCTAAAGAGTTCTATTTAGAGGATGCTTTACTTATACGTAGTTGAAAATGTGAAAAAGATACAAGGATGTCTTCTCCAGGAGCAAGACACAAAATAGTTGGGCCAACTAGAAGAGGAAAATTATTCAATTCCAATTCAGTTTTGCTTGGAAGGACACTATTAAAGCAGAAATTTGCTAATATAATGTTTTCCATATTGAAAAGAAACTTTCCAGAAAAAAATGAGGATTAAAGGAAACAGGGCATTTTAAAGTCCAACTACATAGAGTAAGCATAAAAAGGTAGATAAGACAGCAAGCAAACACCTCCCTTGAAAAAAACTTGAAAGTCACTGAAATAGGATAACTTATCTCTGTCATCAAGAATCTCTGACCTTAATGATAATTTTCTTTCCCTCTAATTGCAAATTTACTAGGATAATAAAAGTGGTAACTTAGTAACCTTGTCTAATAAGTTTTGAACAAGACTTCACAGGCTACTCGGAGTCCCAAATGCTGGAATCACAGAAATTTCCCAGGGTGGGAGTGTTGTTTGAGCAGACACACACCTTCAATGCAGTGGCCCCTTAACAGATCCTACTTAACACTAAAACCCTCCACCTGAAGTTGCAACTGTTAGAAAATCAACAGTAGGATCAAAATTATACAGAAAAGTATACAACACTCTTTACTGGATGGAAAATTCTCTGTTAAAGAGAAGCCTATGGCCATTGTGTTTCTACTCTTATTTTGGTAATGACTGTTTAAGACTTATTTGAATGTCAAAATTGTGTTAGTTCCACAGTATAGATGTCTTAACCCAGTGAATGTATAGTGGATACCTCACTCATCAACACTGACACAGTAAGTATTCTTGGGTGCTTTTGAGGTCACTTTTTATTTTCTGATCCTTAATTAGGGCTTTCATAAAACATATCCATACCAGGTCACTTTTGAGAATAAAAATGAGTACTAACAATCATTACTCCAGAATATAGGTATAAAAAAGACAAATTGGGAATATTAATTCATGTGTCTTGACCCATGTACATTCTCTATATATACTGATTTAATTATAAGTCTACATGTATGTAAAAATCCATATATGGATATGTATGTATATATACATATATATTCAGTACAATATTTTCATTAATTTAACAGATTTTACATTTAATTTTTTTATTCTAAAGAGAAGAAGGTTTATTTAAAAATTTTTTTGTCTTTTTGAGACTTAGTTTCTCTATGCAGTTCAGGCTGACCTTGAGCTCACTTGGTAACCCAGGCTGGTCTCGAACTTACAACAATCCTCCTGCCTCAGCCTCCCGAGTACTGAGATTACAGGCGTGAGCCACCAAGCCCGGCAGGTTTATTTAACTTTAATGGCAAATATTTTCAATAGCAATAATGGCTACCATATTTTTATTATTACCTATCTGTAGCACTCCAAAAATGAGATCTAATACTCAACATTTTCCTGACAAATTAGCATCAATTTCACCACTTCACAGGTGCAAAAAGAATGTGTTATAACTTGGATTCAGATGCTTTCTTGGTCCTTTTTCTTTCTGTTATACTCAGTGGCTGCATGGTGCAGATACAGAAAACTCTAGAGGAAGTATTTTCCTGGTGACAGAGGGCAGAGCATCCTACCGTGTCCCAGCATCTTTGTCAAGTCTGGGTTGGGGCTGCTGCCTGGGATTGCTCCAGGTGTGCACAGCTTCCTCTCTCACAAGAGCTGCTGGCACTCAATCTATTGACAGTAAAATATGACAAAGAAGCTTATCCTGTCAGTGTCTATCATACGGAGAGAAAGGAGGCTAGACATTTGTTTCCAGGGAATAGCTCCAAAGTAATAGCTCACACTCTTCTCCAACCCAAAATAGCCTCTGTGTTGTGCCAATCAGTAATGAGCTTATGTACTTCCCTACCCTGGCAGGCCACCAGGTCTGCATACAAGGGAGGTGGTGACCACTAGCGAAGACTCTCCCCTCTGCTACTGAGCATCTCATCTCCAAACTATCATTTGGGAACATGTGGCATTGAGGTGGGAAATCATGTGGCCTTTACAAGATCATCTTCATTGCCATAGCAACTGTCCTAGATAATGTTTTCAGGATCTATCATGTAACAAACAAAACATATTACAGGATTCCCCTGCCCCCCTAAGATCTGATATTTTCATGAACACTGTATAGAGCATCAAAAACTAATAACATCACCTGGTGGGAAGGGGAAAACACTGATTTCACAGGAGTTTGTGCCTTTTCATAACACTGGCCTCAAAGTTATTAGTGAGAAGGGGATTTTGTGTTTCATTTTCTGTGGCACATTAACTATTATAGACCACTAGGGTGTCATTAAGCTATTCCCTTTTCTAATATACTAAATGGAATCAAATAATTGAGGTTGACTGTGTTTATTTACCTCGCAAAGATTCCCTGCCTAACTGCTTCACAATGGATTGTGAAAATAGCTACCTTGATTCTAAATAGTAATCTTGCTCTTTATTGCAAAAAGCCTGAGGACCATCAATCGCTATCAGAGTGCAGCAGCACACAGGATCTCCACGGAGGCAGGAACAGGCAGTGCAGGTCTAGAATCAGGAAACTCATGCTGGTTGGGAGAAGCGTGAGTAGCATTATCTGCTGCCTTTTGGGATGGTGATTCAGCATAGCGGTACAGCCGAAAGAACTCTGAGCCAGGCACCTGAGCCCGTGGAACTCACACACAGTTCCACCCGTCTATCAACCACAAATTTCCATTCATGGAAATTGGACATTAGCTTCCTAAAGGCCTCTTTGCCCCTTAAAGTTGTATGCATTGCTCCTCTTCTGCTTCATTTACTGACACCTGGCAGAGCTCCTGATATGCATTGTCCTTCCCTGTGTCACACAACTATATGAGATAAATTCTCCTGTCACTACTTCTCTTAGTTACTTTCAGAACTGCTGAAACCCTGTACTTAACGTTCACAACTCTAAGTCAGAAAAGTTTATTAGGGTTCACAGTCTATAGAGATTTTAGTCCATAGTCTAAGCTGGTTCCAGTGTAGAGGCATGCCAGAGGGACTTGGCAGAGAAGAAACAGCTCGTGGCATGACAGCAGAAAGAAAGAGATAAAGGAAGAATGGAGAGATAGACTCTTCCAGGCCACACCTCAATGGCCTCCTACATTTCCTCCTTCACCACTTTTAGCTATCAACTCATCAGTGGACTAATCCACTGGTAAGTGTCACATCCTTACAATCCAATCACCTCCCCAAACCCTCACTTACGTGTGCATGAGGCTTTGGCGGCACATCTATGTAATAAACCATAATGTTACTTTACAAATGAGAAGACCAAAGCACAGAGCAGTCAGGCCATGGCTGGGGAGGTTAGAGGTGCCCTGTTTTCCCTTATCCTATACTTCTTCACTGAGGAAGCCCCCAAATCTCTCTTCTTACTTAATGAGAAGAACAGTGTCTTACTTTGTGGGTGACTTGAAAGCAGTAAAGTGATCAAGCTCAACACAACCATTGCTCTTTCAACTGAGTCAAGGCACCTGGCTTACAGATTCCGATTGAGTGACCTGTGGGAATGTGGCCAACGGCTGTCCAGCTACACTCGTTACTACA